AATACTGTCGATCTTGCATCGACGATGTGGCAGTGTTTTCAAAAACATGGTCAGATCACATTAAACACTTAGAAAATGTTTTTACGACCTTGAGAGAAGTTGGACTAACCGTCAATGGAATGTCTTAAAATATTCACTTGCGGCAGCGATTTTTCTTGGCTGTTTTTTGAAATATCGTCAAATATAAAGACCTTTATTGCCACCCTATTTACGTCCATATTTTTTCAAAATTTTGTCTACTTAATGGGTCAGAATTCCAAATATGTAAAAAAAAATATGTGTTTATTCAAAGAAAGTGCGTTTTTGAGTCTGTTTTTGAAACTTAATTATTAGTTAGCACTAATTAATTAGCATATTTGAGGTCACCCCCATGAACCATTAAGATTGACACTTAGTTCGTGAAAAGATCTAAGAATGAAAGTTATTCAGGGTATTTTTTTTTTTTGCTGAGTGTACACAGTCCGCAATAGTTAAGCCTGGTCTATTTTTGATGTTCGGCATCATAGAGCGAAAATTTTAAAAAAAACATTCATATTAGAAATAATGTTTTAATTTTATAACTTCACTCATTATATGTCACCGAAGTCTTCCCTCTTCGATTATTTAACTCAAATAAGATCCTAATTTACTTTTTATTTTCCAGAATTTACGAAGCTTTCAAAGCCGAAAAAAAAGTTAAGCCTTGGCGTAAGCTTCATCAATGAATGTTTAGATTTAACGGCACCCTTTAAAACGTTTACGAACGCTCAATTTGGTATTTACTTGAAATAACATTTTTTAGAGTTTTTCAACACCAAATTTGCGTGGTTATTCCACCATGTTTTTTTTTCAGCGTATAATATACACTACCCAAAAATACTGCAGAGATACCAACTGCTCCGGATTCAAAAAAATATTTTCAAAAATGGTAACTAAATTTTCAGACTGGCGGTTAATTTTGCGAACTTTTTCAAAGAGTCAACACGGCTTAATTGTAACAAATTGGCGTTTCAGAATTATTTAGAAATAGTGCTGAGTTAAAAACATGTAAATCGATTTTCTTAAATCAAGAATCATATGTTAAAAGACACAAGAAAATTTTGATCCGCTATCAGGAGAAAATTAGCTCCTTTGATGATAGAAGAGACACTTTCAGTCTTAGAAATTTATTTTTTTCAAAATTTCGCAAGAAATTTCTCGAGAATTATTTTGAAATTTTAGAGTTTCATGCAATTTTTCAAAATTAGCAGTAAGGTTTATCACCTTCACAGGTTTGAGGAACCGGCAATACGCTACGAAAAAAAACTAATACAACAACACCTCATGCCATAAAATCAAGCAACAAGCGTGTAACTAGTGTCGATTAAATAAGTTGTTATTTGCAATAAACTGCAATAAGTTTCATAAACTTAGTCTAAGCATTTATGAAAATCTAGATATTTTTATTTATAAAAAGTATGTTTTTTTATTTATGAAAACAAATTTTTTTGGTATAACTTAAAAAATGTTGAATGAAATTCAACAAAATATTTGGAGCAATTTAAAATTAATTGCAAAATTGTTGTTTTAATTTGCGGAAAAAATTCGTTAAAAACAGAAAAAGATGTGAACATTTAAGATAAAGTAGATCTTTAATACTGCACATGCGTGGAAAAATGCGCGAATGTTTTTTTGATGGTTTTGTAGTGAATCGTATTTTGCAACCAATAAAAAAAGTCTGATTTGAAGATCTTGAAAGTTTAAAACTCTTTAAATAATTTTCTTTGTAGTTTTTGTATTTTTTAAAAGTAAGCTCGAAATGATCACGGATTTTCCATAAATTTCATTTTGAACTACAGTTTATTAAATTTTGTCTTATGATACAAACATGCGTTGTATATATGGACATTATAAGCACACATATAATTGCATGCACATAAAATGCGTGTACATGCGTACATGTATATAATGGTACTATTGAATAAGCGAACATGCAAACATTGTACGTACAGTGCACAAAAAGAAACTGAAGACTCAGAATAGCTCGTGTTCTAATGATTGGGATTTCACGTTCTTTAACTCAATTTTAATGCCTCGAGGGGGAGATTTCAAATATTCTAATTAATAAGGGCAGACGATATTTTAAGTTTTAAAATCAGACACGAAAACGTACTTTCTCAGAATAAATTTACCGGTTTCTCGACGGATTCGAAATTCTGACTCTCAAAATGTAGGGATAGCCGCAATCTGGATAATATGGTCCAAATAGTTTGGACAGGAGAACGCTATAAAGTTTGGACCCCTCTAATGTTAATTATTTTTCTTGCGCATTTTGTTACATCACGAGAAGTTTAAAAAAATTAATTATAAAATTCGTTTATCCAAACATAGTTTCACGCAAAAAATAACCTATATTAAATATTTATTATTTTTTTTACTATTTTATATGATAATTTTTGAAGGTATGTAATTTTTTGAATCCTTTTTATGAAAATAATTTTACATCTCAAAACTATTCAAACAATTTCGCTCGGATTTTGTTTTTTGCCATGTGTAATTACATTTTTTAAAATGGTGCAAAAAATGGTGTGCCTTAAAACGGAAAATTTTTCCTATCATTTTTATAAAAAATAATAAATATTTACTAAAATATATTTTTTGCATGAAATTAATTATCCTTGGAAAAAGGAATTTTAGAATTGTCTGAAAAAAGTTTTCAACTCGTTTAAAAAACTCTCGAGATTTTGCGTAATACGCAAAAAAATAAAATTAACATTAAGGTGTCAAACCCTTCGAGCTCTCCAATGACCAAACTATTCGGATCTTAATTCCCAGATTGCGGCTATCCCCCATTCTGTGGATGTCAGAAATCCGAAACAATCGTAAAAAAGGTACGTTTATTCAATACGTTTATTATATTATTTTTAAGTTTGATTTCGTAACTTAGAATATCGTTTGCACTAATAAATTGAGGCCACCCTCCCTATACATTTGAGTCCTTGAACGTGAAAATACGATCTTTAGATCAAAAGTCCTTCAGGATGGTCCGTTTGTTTTAGCACGCTACATAGAATATACATGTATGCAGGCACATAAAATGTACGTTGGCACATTCATCGTGCACATACATCCAGGTACATTGCATTTCCAATCAATGTCTGTATGTATGTACACAAAATATATGCATGTTCATTGCGAAAATAAATAAACAGATTACTCTAAATAACTTTTGATTTAATGATAGGATTTTAACCGTCTAAGACTCAATCCTTATGACTCGAGGGTTTTATTTACAATATTCTGATTAATAAGTGCAGACGATATTTTTAGTAACATAATCAGACACAAAATTATACTTTCCCTGAAAAAACATACCTTTTATCTACTGATTCGAGTTTACAAATCTCAAAATATAGGGAGCAGTTGAAACATTTTGAAGCTTATCAGCGCATTCATTCAAAGGAGGTGGAGGTAGCAACACCTACAATGTGTATAAAACAAGAGATTTGACAGTACGTTTCTCATTCAGAAATTGAATTTGAGCGTTGTTTTGGGGTTAAAAAGTGTTTGTTATGTCTCGTGTAAGAACCAGCACGTGTCTGAGTGTCATCGAGGAAAAATTGTGGCCTATCGGGATTGCGGTTTATCATACCGAAGTATTGCTTCTCGCGTTGTTCGAGATCTGATGACTGTTAGCAGAATATGGAATCGATGGGTTCATGACGATCATATGAACACCGTGTAGGATCTCAGTGGCCCCCTATTATTAACAGCCGAGAAGACAGACATGTTATCCACATGGCCTTAAGGGATCACACAGCTACGTCACGAACCCTGAGTCATCAAATAGGATCATTTGCAATACAACAAGTGTCTGCACGAACAGTTCGACAACGTTTGCAGCAGCATGGACTGTCAGCACGGCAACCATGGCCTCGGCTACCCTTGACGCAGCATAACACGCAGGAGCTCCTCCAATGGTGTGATCAACGACGAACCAGGACGCAGGAATGGCTTGACGTCGTCTTTCAGAAGAATCCAGCTTCTGTATACAGCATCATGATGGCCGCATCCGTGTTAGGTGACATCGTGGAAAATGCCCATTGGCTGCTTGCATTCGACATCGTCATACGGACCCATCACCTGGAGTAATGGAATGGGGTGTTATTGGATACACGTCTCGATAACCTTTTGTTTGCATTGCCGGCACTTTGAACAGCTGTCGTTACATTTTAGATGAGTTAGGGACAGTTGCTCTGTCTTGTCTTCGAGGCTCCCATAACGCTACGTTTCAGTAGGACAATGTACGACCGCATGTTGCACGCACTGTCCTGACCTTCTTTGACACAGATCATGTTCGCCTGTTGCCTCTGGCCAGCACTTTCTCCAGATCTCTCACCAATTGAAAATATCTGGTCAATGGCTTTAGAACGACTGCCATGCCACTACGATCGATTAATTAAGGCATCATGATGAAGCTGCATGGAATGCTGTACCCGTCCATGCTATCTAATCTCTGTTCGAATCGATGCCCAGGAGAATAACTGCTGTTACTTGCTGCAAGGGAAGGCTACTCTGAGTACTGATTCCTCAGGATCAATACATCCAAATATCCTGAAAATTTAATTACTTTTTCTTCCAACTATAATCGTATGTGCCCAATAAATATCATTCTGTTATTTGCATTCCCTGCTGGTGTAACAATTTTATTGGCCAAAGGTGTGTCATTCAATTTCATCAAAAAAAAAATTCGTTTGGAACTGAAATCGTCTCCCTCCAGTTATTCAGTGAATGCATCCCATAAAAACCAAGTTAGACCTAAATGGCAATAGATAAAATCGTGTCGCATTCAGCCACACTGTCCTTATATTTTTTAATAAGCTTATTATAACCAAAAAGTTTTGAATCCAGTGAACAAAATATTTTTAACATTTTAATTTTTTCTATTTCATATAAAATCACAAAAATCGGTTAATTTTTGAAAATGACACTTGTATTATTATTATTTTTTTTTTTTATAATCTGAAGACATTTTGTTTCAGATAAGGAAATTAATGATAAGTTGGATTCATGCATCATATTGACACCAGAAGAGGTATGATTATATATATCGTAGAACAATGTTGATTAAAGCAAATTTAAACTATTTTATATATTGCATTTTATGATCAAATTCTCAATAAATTGGTGATTCTTTGTTGATAATAAAATTCGTGAGAAACTAAAAACCAATCTAGCGTAGTAGTTGTTCATTTACGTCGCACTAGAGTGGCACAACGGGCTATTGGCGACTGTCTGGGAAACATCCCTTAGGATGATCCGAAGACATGCCATAACAATTTTGATCTTGTGCAGAGGGGATGGTACCCTCGCTTAGGTAGCACGACAACCTGCGTGCGAAGTCGGGCACTTTATGGTAGAACAGTTTAACGAGGACCAATGCGGCACACCCTGGATCCCTACGCAGACTGATTCAAGTGGCCACCCACCCGCACACTGACAGCAACCAGTGAAGCTTGACGTCGGTGCTGGGAACCGTAGCTTAACGATCAGTCCAATGCGGGACAAAAAGCAATGTAACATACCAATGCACATACCATTGTAGACATAATTATTTAGAAATGTCTCTCGCCATATCCGATGTAAACAATTTTCATTCAAAAATAGCGTATACATCAGTAAACTCCAAAACGCAAATGTGGTGTACTTCCATTAAAAAAAACTCCATGAAGGCAAACTTCTCCCAATACTTGATCCAGGAGTTCCCTTGTCTTCTGGATTGGGTTCAAAATTTCAAGACTACGGAGTTCAGCATTAATAGTCGTAAACCCAAAAATTGAGTCGAATATTCAACGATGGTCATAAAATAAAAAAATATTTTTGTAAATGCCGTGGTGGCTCAGAATATAGAGCACTAGCGTCCCAATAAGGTAAACCACGATCGAATCCCTTCAATGGCTGGTCGATACGAATCCAGAAGCTTGGCTCACACTGACCACAATGCTTGTGTGGAATCCGTTTGCATTGAATCATCTCTGGATAAACGTTCTTTATAATTATTCCCGAGCTTATTCCCGAGCTATACACAAAAAGTAATATTATGATTAAGGGGTAAAACTCTCGGACTGCTCTCCTGACTAAACTATGAGGATCATATTTTCTAAATTGCAGCAACCCCCTTGCACGTTAGAGGTAAGAAGTCAGAGTTCGTCAAATGAAAGGTATATTTAGCTGACAGATTAAGTACGTTTGTGTTTCTGATTACGTCGCATAAAATACTGTCTACACTTATTAATTAGCATGTTTGAGATCGATGCTTTAACCTATTAAGATTGAGTCAAAGAACGTGAAAGCATTAATCATAAAATAAAAAAGTTATTCAGGTTTGCACATTTTTTATGCACTCTGTAAATGAAAATACGACAGCATGGGTCCGATAAACAAAAATTATTTAAGATCTTTTTTCTTTTGGTTTCCTGTAAAATTACTGAAAATGTAAAAATTCACAATAGCTTTATATTTCTTATTTTTTCTTTAAAGTATGGTGTGAACGCAATGAAGCATTTCGCAGATTTTTTCTCAATGGACTGGTCCTGGCCAAACTGGAACGCATTATATCAAGATTGGTGTGCCATGGATGAAGTAAAAGAGGTACCTTGCATATTCGACTTAGTAATGTCAATTCATAGAATATAAATAGATAAGGAATGACAGCAATTATTATTGAATCAATTTAAACAAGAAAAATTTTTCTCAAAGTTATCCCTTCAGCTTGAAAAAAAGCTCCACGAAGAAATTAGAAAAAAATATGGAAATGAATAAAAAATATCGGAACTTATTTGCGGAATATTTTGTCGTTGGAAATTTCGCCGAAAAAAAAAACGATAAAATATTGTACTGGTCCAGGTTAGACAGAGAAGCAGCAATCCAAGATTAATGCCCCGTGAATAAAAAAAGAAGGTCTATTGCACAAATGAGTAAGCAATGACATTTCATAAAATAGACGGGGAATGCCCATTATTGAAATAGTTTAAAAAATTTACTGATTGTTTAGACATCAGTTTGCGCTAAAGCTGCGGGGTTGTAATAGGAACTAAATGTTAAAACTGATGAAGGATATCTGAACTTTTTTTCTGGAAATTTTACAGCAGAGAAATTTAACGAGAAAAAATTAAAATATTGCTTTACAAACATTTTAAACATTTATAATTGATTTGGTACGAAGATTTTTCAATTATCATGAAAGCGTGGGTAATTCAAACAAATCTTTTTGAAGATTTTTTTTCGAATCACATGAAATTACAATATATGATGCTTTTATTTACTTTTATAGTTTATAATAATGGAGTATTAGACTAAAATTTCAAAATGAGTGCAAACGGAGAAGAATGGATTATTTATTTAATTAGGACCAGTGTATAATAAAAAAATTGTCCTGGTGACAAAAGAGTCCCCGTTAAGGTAACTTTCACGTCTTTGGTTTGGAATTTTTACTTCAGGAGAAATCAAAATAAATACATAAATTATTTAAGCTCAAAAGCAAGTCTATACATTTTTCCCTCTCTTAAACTAATTAACATGAACACGAAATTTTTTCTGGAATTGTAAAATTGGCCATGGAAACTCAAATTGACTGTAATTTAAAAGTAACAAAGTTACTAAATGATTTGTTTTATATCCTATGTAAAACTTAATTCAATAAATTAAATATATTTTGCAATAGCAGGAAAAATTACTTGAACCATCATTGGGCCAACATTCATAAATCTTGGCTCAATTAATGTTCAAATAGTCGTTATTTTTCTGATATTGGCAGTAGATAGAATTTTCCGATTCACCCCATATTTTACAGTCACTTTACAACCATTATTAGTCCCATGTAAATTATGAGATCCACCCAATATTTTATATCCATTATTTAGAAAATATAGGTTCTATAAAGGCCAATTTAGGCCCTATATTGGCCATTACGGGAGCAATATTAAAAAGTCTGCAAATCTCAATATATCAACCATGTTGAGGCAATTTTGAACGCAACTAAGGAATAGGTAAAATTGTTGCTAGGGTAATTATTTAACCCTCCTTTAGATGATTCTTTTTTATTTGTTTAAGAATTAAAACAAATTGATCTAATTCATGGTCTAATAGATTAAAGGAAAAGTGCTTTAAAAAATTATTGCTATATCATATAAATACTGCTATATCCGATATTTTATATCCTTAGTTAGAAAACGTAGGTTCTATATTGGCCAACTTACGCCCGATATTGGCCATTATAGGAGCAATATTAAAAAGTCTAATAAATCGCAATATTGGTCCCTCAGTGCATGTTCTTATAGGACCTAGGATGCATTTTTAAACCCAATTGGGGCATAGGTAAAATTGTTGTTAGGATAATTATTAATCCATCTTTGCATGGTTTCTTATTTTTTGTGAAATAAAACAAATTGATCTACATAATTCATGAAGGAAAAATGTTTTAAAAAAATCATATCATAAATGTATAATATTAAATAAATCCAAAACAGTATGGTGAAAATATCAATAACTGTATAAAGTGCATAAAAAATAATATATCTTTGTACATCTTTTTTCTTCCTGGTGATAATTTTAAAAAAAATATTTTTATTATTATTCTTTTGCAACGCTCATATAATTTTAGCTACCACGCGGCGCTTGTCTTCAGAATTTTCGTCATCAAGAGCATTTTCTGATAGACAACCACTTTTTAAATGGTCCAAGTAATCTTCGATGTTCCTTCTGAATTTCTTCACAAAAATAATATAAAAATAAACATATAGTAAAACCATTTTCGACATACATTCGAAGTGAAACAAATGCATGGTAATGTAAATTTCTGCGGGGAGTGAGTTGGTATCTACAGTGTCAAGCTTCATCTATGAAAAGGTACCACACTATAGTATCGATTAGCATGTTTCATACACTAGTGAATTAGGACTATATTTTTGTAGTGGCAGATACACTACATTACTCCCCCACCAGAATTATATCTGTTATAGAGTTCAATGAACGGATACCAGTAGTTGATTGATTACTGTTTTTTTGTGAGATGCCGGGTGAACTGTATTAAGATCACCGTACTTTTTGCTGATTGAGAGTGTTGTATTAAGTTCACGGTCGTGGTAGCTCTCTGTGTTGCCATTAGCAGTCGAATGTATGCAAACTAACATTGTGTGAGATTGATACGAGACTGAGTAGCACCAGTACGTGGAAGTGGCTAATGTAGCAAGTTAACCGTTCAATGTGGAATATCTATCGAGGTAAGCGTGTTCATATCGTAGTGGGCGTTTCTACAAAAGGTAAGCGTGTTCACATCATGTCCGAAGGTCACCAATGTGGGGATAGTAGTTATCGACAATGTCAATTTTCTTCTGTGAAAAGGTACCCCAGCATAGATTCGAGTTAACATGCCTTATATACTAGTGAATTGGGATTGTATTTTTGTAGTGGCAGATACACACATGTCTGTTTCATGGTTTTGGGAAGATTATTTATGTATTTAATGTTTATTGCGCAGTAAATATCGTAAACACAAAAGAAACAATCATTTTTCCATTCATTAGCACTTGTTAGAAAGAAAATGTCAGAATATTTATCAAAATTCTTCAAGAAATCGTACGTTTCTTCTAACCACAACAAAAGGCGGAATGACAAGCTCAAACCGCCTTAGCAGCAAAATGACTTGGGCCCTCATCGGGCCTATATTCACAAATCTTAGTTCACTAATGTTTCAAATTGCTGCTATTTTACGATATCAGTCTATATATTTGAAAAGATCAATATTTCCTATAGTCACATTGGTCTATATATCCTATTTAGATTTGTCCGATTCTCCCTACATTTTACAGTCACTTTACAACCAATATCGGCCTTTCACCTAATGAAGTTAAATAACCATCGCAGCAACTCAGCTCACCTAATGAAGCCGATTAGTTCTTTTGCAGTTTTGTACATATTACAACTGGGTTCGAGCCCCAGCATTGACTCCACTATATTTTTTCTATTCCCTTCAACACTTAAAGAGTGCCCCGCACTTCCCTATTTGTAACCGTGGACTATTATAATATAAAACTCTATTCACACAAAGACGCCAGCACCTTAAAACTGCTTAACACAAAAACGACTTGTAATTCCAATCTCTTACGGGAGAGGAAACAATCAAATAAACTTATAAAATCACATCCCATGGTTTTTTTCATAAAACACAACTCAACTAAAACGTAACTTTAATGCCTATTACTTAACAAAAAGACCAATGCCCAGTAGAGTTTTTTTTTATAACTGTTTTGAAACCATGCCAGTTGCAAATGGTTGAGGAACAGAACAGTTTTGTATTCGTGTTTCTTTTTTAACCATACTAGTTGTTCACGGTTTCAAAATCGTAAAGGTAAAAACTTTTCTTCACGAAAACTTTATGATTTGTAGATGGACATATTGCGGCGGTTATTCCAGCGTAAGTCAGTAAAGTAAAATTTTTCAAGTGTGTTAGAAACACTTATGTTTGAAAAATGTGATTTCAAATCATTGTTATAAATGTTTATTAAAAAAATATTGTCGTTTCCAAATTAAACTAAATTATTTCTTTTTCTTTTTAAGGCAGAACTGTTTGTAGAAGCTGTTCAGTATGCAACAGAAGTTGGGGTAGTAAGTATTAAGCCAGTTAACTTATCCCGATGAGATTAAACATATTTTTTTAACTGTTCTCCTGCGATTTGAGCGGGGTCGAAGTCGAAGAAATTTTTTTCCCTTGTTTCAATACTGATCCCGCTATTTCTACGTGTAGGTTAAAAAAAAAGAAAGAAACAAAAACATAATTTGATGGTTATTTTCGCTGCTGGATGGCACTAGAGCATACCTGCCAACTCTTCCGGACTTTCCCAAAGATTTTATTTTCACATTTAAAGTGGTAGCAATACTCAGGTTATTCCAATAAACTTTTTGAATTATAATGATAATTATAAATGAGTTTGATCACCACTACATATAAATAATTATAATAAATATATGAAAGCATAATAATCAATGCTTAAGCGAATTTCAACGGAATCAAAATGTGGGTATATTTTTGAGGCAGATTGTTTTTCGTTTATTGTTTTACTGCCACTCTGAAAATCCATTCTCGGAAAGAGTGAAAGTTGGCAGGTATGCACTAGAGAGCTCATGAATTTTGCTTCCTCTCTTGATAGATACATGTCCCCTGTGTATTTGTGAGTTTGCTTGCTGTTTGTTTTTCTTTCACGCGATTAGCATTATTGAAAGATATAGATTTGCCGAGTGTCAGCGGTGTTACATGTGGGAATAAAAAACGAAAATATCTTGATTATGAAAATAGTGATTCGGATTCGGAGTATTCCACAAATCAGGGCATTTCTTTTCTTTTTTCTGTTTATTACAAAATTTCTGTAAAATTTTTTGAGACAAAATGCTTACAAATTATATTCACCTGAAAATAAAAATAGCGCATCAATTTTTTCACTCATAATTCCTGCACACTGAAATAGTGGGCGCCATATTATACATTTTTTGAAAACGTAAAATCTATTAAAATTCTTGCATCATTTAAAAACAACTAATGAAGATGTGAATCGTAACATATGTAGATAAAAAATATATAAAAAATATCGCTCCATATTTTAAGACCGGAAAGTATAAAAACTAAGGCGCACGCGGAGGGTTTTAATAAAGAATGCGAACGATAAAAACGAAATCAGAAAAATATTAGCGCACTATTATTTTTATTTTGATAAAAATATTCCTCAAGTGATTCAAATTTGAAACTAAAGTCTATAACAGGAAAAAAACCGTAACAATGAAAAAATAAAAATCGATTTATATTTCTGACACCATATGCATTTAAAACGCAGACATGCCACAGTGTATTTATTTCAATTAATACATATTACCAACATGAATTAAGCATCATTGTCGTCAATGATAGTATGACGATTTCTTACTGTTCTTCAAGACAAATAAATATTTTTACTCCATTTCCTTTGCTTTCTACTATATTTCTTATTTCTTTTATTTCAGTATCCATATATGACCTTAATTAAATAAGCATATTTGGCTTAATTAAGCCTCATTGGCGAAATTTTTTCATGTTTCTCCAAATTGAATTAGTACCACTTTCCCATTAATTTTTGATTTTGAATACATATTTTTTTTTTCTATTCCATTACCGTTGATTTTAAATAAGTAATTTTTCAGAAACACGTTTACCACTAACGATTAACCAATCAGAAAATTTCACTTGGTTCTTCGCTCCTCTTGTTTAAACGATTTGTCGTAGAATGTTCTAATGTTGACAGTGACCTCCCACGTGCTTGAAACTATCTGTATGCTAAATTTCATCGCTTTCTGTCGGATGGTTTAGGAGTCTATAAAGGAGATACATACACACATACATTCATTTTTATTCATAGCTTTGATCTATTTGGTTATTTTCTTAAATCTTTATGTTTCTAAATCATTTTAGAAATTTCCCATTTTACACAGTTTTGAAGTTACACAGTTTGTAGAATTATTCTTCTTTCCCTAATTATTTATTAGTTTCTAAATCTCGTTCAAAAAGTACCTTTCTTTACACAGCCATTTTGTTTAATTTTTATGATTCTCTTTTCTAAATGATTCTTAAAAAAATTTTTCTTTATAAATGTGTGCAGAAAAATTTTGTTGCTTGTAGAAGTTTTCCAGTTAGAAAAAAGAAAAAAAATTTCTCATTGAATAATATATATATATATA